ATAGCTCCAATTGTCCCTTCTCTCCTCCAGGCTGACTGGAGTCTCTTCTGCCCTGAGCGCCCTCAGAAATGCCCCGTGGGGCTCGGGAGGATGCATGGACCTGAGCCCCTTGTTTCTCTCTTGTTGCCCGGCTCATGGAAGGCAGGGGTCTAATGTGACAGAGAGATCAGGGGCTGAAGCCAGCTGGAAGGTGGTGAGACTGTTGTCCCGAAACCCCTTAACCATTCTGCGCCTCAGTTTCCCCAGCTGTCGAGAAGTGTGAGATGAGAGGAGGCAGCATTCAGGGCCTGGGCAAGGCAGATGGAGACGCTGGGACACAGAGGCTCCGGGCTGAGGAGAGAGGCTGGCAGGGGGTGAAGGCTGGGCCTACCACTGAGGTGGTTCTCAGGAGGAAGAAGAGGCCTGACCTCGGTCCCAGCTCTGGCCCCTTCCAACTCAGGCCTTCCCCGCTGTGGAGAGGGTGGCCGCCTGCCAGGTCGCCTTCGAGGTGACGCTGCACTGAGAACCCCCACTTCCACCCCTGGACCCCTCGACCCTCCTGGCTGCGGCCTCGTCACCAGATACCCTGCCTACCTCTGCAGTCACGCGGGTCTGAGGACGGCAATGGGATCACGTGGAAAAGATCTTCCTTAGTGGTCAGGAGAAGGGAGTCAGGCCAGGGCTTAGGAGGTCTGGGTTCTGACACCTGCTTTACACCGTCTCCTACCTACCCATTGCTTCCTCAGCAAGAGATTGGGCTAAGTGGAAGGTCCCCTCCTGCTGAGGGACTCCCCAAATGAGCCCTGGAAGGCAGGACCCTACCACTAGGGAGGTGAATGCTCCCTAAGGCGACCTTCTCCACTCAGAATCCGGACCAGTAAATTTGGCATTGAGCCCAGGGACACCCAACCCGAGCTGTTGGTAGAGCACCCCTTTCTCGTGGTCGAAGCATCCCCCACTCCCAAGTGTGTCAGGCCAGAGCAGCCCACGCCCTGCAGTTAATATTTCAGGCAGAGCTTGGACTTACAGCCAATTAGCCTTTTTCTCCTTCTTATCCCAAAGGAAATTGCCTTTCCTGTCCGTCAACTCTCTAATTACCAGATGGGACAACTGAGATTTTGAGGACAATTAGGAGGAGGTCTGTCTTTTCCCAAACTCCCCCGGTCCCCTCCTCCTCGGGCCCGCCCCTGTCTGGAGCCTTCCTCTAATTTGGAGCCACTTAGAAAAGACAAGGAAGCCTTTAAAGCTAGGAAGAATGTCTCCCGGAATGCATCCTGCCTGTTTTATAAGCTGTGGCCAAGAGCACTGGCGAAGGCATCCGTTCTGCAGAAGCACAGGAGAGGCACCCTGTTCAAGGGGCCTGTGGCCGCAGCATCCTGCTGTAAAAATAGCTGTGGGTTTCATGGCTGGAGGAAGGGAAAGGGCAGGATTCGTCTTCTCAACAGGCCGAAAGTCACCCTAAAGCAGGAAAAGAGGAGCCCCTAAGCCGGGTCTGAGAACTCTCCGCTGGGTCCTGCTTAGGCCTTTGGGATCACCGTTCGGTGGTGTGGATGCCACTGCCGAGCAGCCCTGTCCACTCTTCGCGCCCCTGTGCCCGGCCCTGGGCCTTCACACCACGCGCCTACGTCACTGCGCAGCTCCGTGGGTGCCCCAGGATATTGCACACATTCACCCACTCCTCCCCCAGAGCAACGAGAGCTCCCGTTACGTCCTCCTCGTCCTTAAAGGTCTAGTTGGTTGAACCCCACCCCATAATGCCCCCTGTAAATGAGTGGTAGCTCTTTTCGTCCGGGTCCCTCACTCAGAACCACACCCATTATGCTCACTGCTGTGTCTGCAGTGCCCAGCACTCAATAAGTCCTCAATAAATATTTGATGAATGAATAAGAGCATACACTGTCTGATAGGGTTACTAAATGGCCCAAACTCAGGGACTGTCAAGGACAAGTTTTTCATCCCTCAGAATACCCAGCGTAAGGCTACAGTAGACAGTCAATAAGCATTTTGCCAATTTACATTACCTTTGCTTGGAAAATAGTGATCTCTCCATCAAAGGTGGTGTGCAAACAAGGGCTACCTGACGGGGAAGCTGCAAAAGACTCTCGGGGTCTAGCAGGGCTGGACTCAGAGGGCCGATGGATTTCCCTCTGTGCTCCTAGAGGCCAGGTGGTTGGAGGCCTCTCGGTGGAGCAATGGTGGTGAGGCCCGAGGCTAAGGACACACAGGTCATTCTTACTCTGTAGGGTGGAGGTTGGAAAGAGGGAGTGATTCCGGTGGGCGAGGGGACTGGAGGGACCATGGAGTGTGGGCAAAGGCTTTGAGGAAGGAGATTGAGGGAAGTATGTGTGAACAGTGGAGGTCAAGGTGGTAACTGGCTGGGGCAGGGACCAAGGGCTGTGGGCCTGAGAGGGCAGGGGACAGGCTGCTGAGCATGAGTTAGTGGCAAGAGACTAGGAGGGAGGGGTGACAGGTGAGGGGTGACTGCCTCAGCTTTTTCTCAAATGGTCTGGATGACAGGGATCACCTGGCAGGCAGGTGGCTGCATCTTAAGATACCTGGCCTCTTTCAAGTTCACTTACGGGCTTGGTCACACCTGGGACCTTGGGTTGCCCTCTGTCTGGAAAGTGGGGTGCTCTTCACAGGGCGCTAAGTACACCTCTGACTCACTGGAGCCAACCTGGAATTTCAGTTCCGAGGCTACTTGCTCCCAGTAGCCCCTGGCTGGGAATGAAGACCCGTTAGGGGTCTCTCTGACCCCAAGAATTGGCTGTCAGAATAGTCACTTCAGTGCAGTAGGCAGTTGAGCTGAACAGAGTGACCCAGCGATGGCTAGAGGCTCACCGCAGACCCGCACAGCTGACAGGGACTGCGGCAGTGAGGTTTCCTCAAGGGCCCCATCCACGCGGGGGCTCTGCCCTCCAAATCCCGGCCATTGACTTCAGTGCCCACCTCCTTCCCACGGCACTGGGCCAAGGTGCTGGGTGGCTGGCACTGTTTCTCAAATGTAGAAGCTGAGGGTCTGTGTGTTTCGGAGTGAAGGTCCCACTGCGAGGGCAGCGCCCAGAGCTTCCCTTTCTCAGGGTTGTTGTGTGTTCCGCACACCCCTGCCCCCTGTGCTCTAGGGACAAACGTTTTCCAGCCCTCTTTCTCCGGGGATTCCATGAGCTCCAGGAGATTTCTGACCAGCTCTTCCTGCTCTTTCATGATATGAAGGAGAAGGAGAAGGAGGCTGGGGCAGGAAGCTGTCAGGACTAATTTGCCAAGCGCTTGTGAACTCTGCCGCCGTGACTTAGTTGCACCTCATGGTGATTCCCTCTGCACTTCTCTCCCTCCCACCTTCTGCAGGCTGGCTGGCTCGGGGCTGTCCTGGCCCTCAGGAGCCCCTCCAAGGTCCTGGGCTGTGATGCCCGGAGGCAGGAGCTTAGGGGCATCCTGTTTTTGTGTGAGGAGGCCTCCGGTCAGCAGGAAGCAGGAGGTATAGCCTCAGATGGCATCATCTCTCCTGCGCAGCAAGGCCGGAGCCAGAAGAACCTGGGCCAAGCTCACGGACAGGGCAGGGAAAGGCTGCTCTCCAGGGCTGGTGCAGACAGTGGCCACCTGTCCCGCCCCATAGGCCCAGAAGGGGCAGGCCCCTGCCTGGCTCACACAGTCTCCGGAAGTGGGTTGAGGAGGGGTTGGGGCTGGAATCCAGGCTCCTGCCCCGGAGTCCGTTGCCCTTCACCCTGGTCTGCTGTGGTCAGTTGGTCCCTGAGGGAGGTCAGCATGGCAAGGCCTGGCTCCAGCTCAGCGGGGAGGGTTCCATCACCAGCCTTAGGGATGTCAGAGGTGTTGGTCACAGTCAGCCAGCCTGGGATGGCTCTGGCAGGGCAGCACTGGCACAGGCAGAACATTCCAAAACTTCTTTCTGGAACCACTAGGAAGAGGGACCTTGGTCAACCAACTTACCTGTCCGTGCCTCAGTTTCCTCACCTGGGCAATGAGGTAAGGATGGAGTGTGAAGATGTTTTAGAACACACTCCGACTTTCTGGGTTTAAGAAGTGTTTGCTACTCTTCTCCTGATCGTCGTCATTACGTGTCCGCCCCCATGGCAGGAGGTCAGCCTTCCCCCGGCGTGGAGGCCTCCGGCCAGCTCCAGGGACACTTAAGCCGTCCTGTGCCTGGGGATGAGTGAGCTCACTGCCTGAGCCCCGAACTGCCGGCCCTGGCAGCTGATCAGACCGATCGGGGGCTGACTCGGTTGGACAGATGGGGCAGCCAGGCTGAAGTGGACACACGGGGGCCCTTCCTGGGGTAGACGCAGGCTCACCTCGGCACATGTCCTGGAGAACTCTTGGGCTGGGCCAAGCCTGGAGAGGATGGGGCCTGTCCAGATATGTGCGTGGGGCCAGAGTGGGATGGAGATCTGAGTTTTCCACTCTCCCTTATCAGAATCACCTCCATTTCTCTTTTGTCTCTGCTTTTCCACTCCCTGAGGAGGACCAGGCTGGGGCAGGTGGTGGTGGTGCATAGCACAGGGCCAGGCTGAGGCAGAAACCCTCTTCAAGAACTGACCAAGGGGGCGTCACGCACTACACACTTTTCATATGAGAGGACTGCGCCTTCTGGAGGATGGAGTCCTACCCAGAGTCACGCAGCTTGAGGGGCTGGGCCACACTGCAGCTACAGATTCCCCTAGCTGGTGTGGGTGGCCCTGCCTTGAGAGTTCTGCTGCCCTGCCACGGTCCAAGGCCAAGTCTCCCCAGTTGTGTACCTTACTGGGTATCTTCACCCAAGAGCCCCTTCCTGGGCTCTGGGCCCAGGGCTACGAAGATCTGGTTGGCCCAGGGCTGGTGGAGACCTTCGTGGCTTGGACTCTCTCTGGATCTGACAACCCCACCCACTCTGAATGGCCCTGGACAGGTGTCTGGCAGGGAACACTCCATCCTGTCCTTTGTCGCTTTCCAAACTGTTGTCCGGACTTGGAAGAGTATTTAAAGAGCCGTGCCTGGGCTGCCCCAGCCCTGCTGCAGCGCGAGGGAGCACTCCAGACCATGGTAGGCTAGGGTTGCCCTGACTCCTGACCCTGACCTCATCCTGTGACCTTGACTTCATTTGTGATTCTCACCTTCACCTCATTGCCTGAACTCACCCTGACCTTGACCTTGCTCCTCTCATTGACATCCTTGCCCTTGACCTGATATCCCTGGTCCTGACCTTTTCTTCACCCTTGATGTCATGCCTGCACCTGGCCCATCCAGGGCTGCCCTTGATGGGGGGCCAGTCTGTCCATGTGGGCCCTGATTTGGGTCTGCTTTCCTGGATTGGGGGGGTGCTGCTGAGGAGAAGGGGAGGATGAGGAAGGGGGAGAAAGGCAGGGTGGGGTCAGTGTTAGACTTTTCAAACCAGGTGTGGGGCTCTGCTCCTGTTGAGAGGACGTGACCCCTGTGAGGGTCAGGGTGGGATTCCAGGACAGCCCGGGTCCTGCTGGCCTTGCCTGGAGGCCCTTCAGCCCCCGTGGGGCCTGCCCTGCTGTCCTCCCTGCCCCTGTGCTCGCAAGGGCTCTGTTCTTGCAGGCCCATCTCACACACACCAGTCAGGCCCTCTGGCCTGAGAAACTCTGACTCAGCTATCAGACTCCATTTCAGAAGCCACCTCCTCTGGGAGGCCTGCCCTGAGTGCCCGGGGCAGAGGGGCTTCTCTGCATTCTCAGTGCCCATCCCTCCCTCTATCACCCTCAACTGACGGTCTGTCTCCCAGCTGGACCGTGGGCTCCTTGGGGACAAGGATGGGCCCTGGTTCAGCTCTGGGTGCCTGGGCCTAGGCAGAGGGCCTGGCCGGAGGTCAGCAGGTACCTAATACATGTCCCGATGCCTTGAGATCGGCACACACGGGGAAGCCGAGGCGTAGAGCCTCTAACTGCTTTTTCTGAACATCACAGAGGCTGTGAGCAGTAACGGCAGGGTTAGCTCCCAGGTGTGGGCTAGCCCCTTCTGCCCTGAGGTGTTCTTTTCAGGGGATTTTTATTTTTTAGGGGCACATTATAAACAGGAATTCCCAAGACAGCCGGGCTGCCAAGGGACCAGGTTGGGAGGCCAGTTCCCCCCACACCCACAGTCCTCCTTCGGGGGTTCCGGGACAGGACAGGGCCCGGCACACAATAGGGCAAGGCATCACAGGGGGCCGCGGAAGGCTGGGGTGGGCCGGGGTGGGTGACGCCAAGGCCGAGGGCAGGTCTGAGGAGAGAAAGGGCAGAATTACCCACAGACGGAAGTGATCGTTTTTATTAATCAGAGGGAAATGTATATGTAATTATGTGAGATGAACTCTGCAGGGAGGTTCTTTTCTTTATGATGTCTGAAGGGATTTATAAATATTACAGAGGTTTTACGGCATCATAACGTCCTGGCTGCCCTGCCAGCCCCCCTTTCAAAGGATTAGTGGAGACAAAGCACCCAGTAAAAGCTAATTATAAGTCAGCCGTGCTGCTGCTCCTGAAGTGAGCCCAGGCGCCGGAGGGAAGTGGGGGCGAGTGCAGGGGTGGGGGAAGTTGGGTGGTAGGACAGGAGGGAGCTGGGGGAAGGGAGACCACACAAGCACCAGGGTGGGGGGCACGTGCTCTGGGGATGGGCAGACAGGACTGGGCAGGAGGGCGGTGCAGGCTGGGACGGGGCCGGAGCTGGGGGTGGGGGATGGGAGCAGGAAGCCCGTTTCTGTTCCAACTCTCTGAGCCAGTCCGAGGACCCTTTGATTAGGGGGGCCCTAGCGATGGATGCTGAGGAGGGCAAGGCCTCCTCCTCAGAGGGTCTTGAGGACTGAGAGCTTTCAGTGAATGCTCAGTAGAGGACTCCCAGGCACCGTGACATCCTGAGAGAAACGCTGGAATTATCCCATGTGGGTGGTCGCCTGCTCTACTTGCTGGGGAGTTCGCCCCTGAGCTTTGGGGCCCTATTTCCAAAGTGATCCCCACTCCGAGTCAGGGTGGGACAGGGGACCTCAGAGATGAGCAGACACAGAGACACAGCAGGACAGCGTGGTCATGCAATGGGGCGTGGCTGAGCTGGACTGGTGGGGAGGGAAGCATCTGGGGGGCTCTAATTAGCTTGGAGGTCAGGGAAGGCTTCTCGGAGGAGGTGGCAGAGAAGTTGAGCCTGGAGGATAAGAATTCTGGGAGATGGAAGGCCGGGAAGGTATTCCAGGTAGTGGGAATGGCAGAAGCAAATGTTGGGCGAGAAGAAGTTCAAAGCAGGTTTGGGACAGAATGAGGGACCCAGGAGGCTGCGGTTTGAAGTTCCGGGAGAGAGACAAAGGACAGACCTTGCAGGGCCGAGGAGCCCAGATGTTGTGCGGAGAGCACCTGGGGTGGTGGCAGGCGAGGAGATGGGCCCCATCTGAGGTCTGCTGCTAGAAAAGACGCCCCTCTCTGCTTCACAGCCTGGGAGCAGACCACCCGCCTTCCGGAGCCCAGGGGCCCAGGTCAGGAAGCAGCTGGCTGGCCTGTGGGGTGGGCGCTCCTGTGGGCTTCTGGCTGTGGGTGGGGAGCCACCCTGCTTGTCTGCAAGGCTTTACTAGGAGCTTTGTCTGCCTGTCTGCTCCCCGCTGGAGGGTGGTGGGTGTGCCATTCGGGACAACGACCCTGGGAGATGAGGCGTGAGGGTTGGGAGGCTGCGGAATGGCTGGCCTCCCAAGGAAGAGGCTTTGGCAAGGCCTTACCTGGTACCTCACAGGCACCGAGAAGAGCCCGGAAAAGAACAGAAGGCGGAGCCAGCTCCAATGTCTTCTCCATGTTTGATCAGTCCCAGATCCAGGAGTTCAAAGAGGTTGGTCACTGCTCCTGACGGCCCCCGAGGGGATTCACTGGGGGAGCAGCAAGGCGTGGGCTCAGCCCTGGGTCCCTGAGGGGTGATGATGTCACTATTCTCAGTGGCCACGGTGTGCCCCAGAACCTGCAGATGTGACTGCTGTCCCCACATGTGACTGCAGTCCTGACCCCTTTCTGTCTGAGCCTCTGCTTGCTGTGTGACCTCGGGGAAGTGTTTCCTCGCTCTGAGCCTGTTTCGCCCTCTGTGAAAGGGGGTTGCTGTGAATGTGAAAGGAGGGACAGGCACGAAGCCCCAGCAGCGTCCTGGCACAGAGTAGGAGCTCAGCGCTGGTTGGTCATCGCTGCCATGCTGGTGTCCTGAGGAGCTGGGCAGCCTGATAGCCCGAGGGGCCTGCACTGAGGGTGACCAGGCAGCAGTGTGCAGGAGGATGGACTCTTGTGGGGGAGGGGGATTTCCGGGGAAGGAAGCTGGGCTTGGGTGAGTGGGAGGGTGACTTTTCAGTGCCCCTGTCTCTGCCAGGCCTTCACCATCATGGACCAGAACCGGGATGGCTTCATCGACAAGGAGGACCTGAGGGACACTTTTGCTGCCCTGGGTGGGTGACCAGCAGCTGGAGAGGCAGGGGCTCGGGGCAGAGCAGGCTGTCCAGGAAGCGTGGGCGGCTGGGGGTGGGCCAGGGCATCAGTGGCTGTGAGGGGCTCATGTGTCATTTGGGGGTGCAGGGAGGGCATGGCTGCTACCGAGAAGGCCTAGGTTTCCCAGTTGTCCGAGGAGACCTTGCCAGGGAAGGTGCCCTCTCACGGGGAGGGCATTTCAGGTGCGGAACGGCCTGTGCGAACGTCAGGGGTGGAAGGCTGCTGGGGGACGGAGGATAGGAAGCACACTCAGCCTGTCAGCTCGAGGCTGCCCCCAGCCTCACTGCCACCGCCACCACCTCAGCCTCCCGAAAAGGGAGAGCAAGTTAGTTGTTTGTCATTCCCATGTTACAGATGAGGAAATGGAGGCTCAAAGAAACTGAAGCCGAGGTGCATAGGGGCTGGAAAAGCTGGGCCTCAGGCTCATTTGTCCCCAGGGGGGCAACTGGTTGCCAGGAGGTTGGGACTCTGGGATTCCTCATGGGTCCAGGAGACAACCAGATCTCCTGGAGCTCAAAGCTCAGCTCAGACAGGACTTGGTTCTGTCCCCTCCCCCCAACCTCAGCCCCTCCCCCCACCCAGGCCCTGAGGCCCCTTTCAGCCCCTCCCTGGGCTATAGACAGGGCAAGCTCCTCCCTCAGCGGCCGAGGCGTGGAACCCGTGAGACCTGTGCACATCACCAGCCTCTCCCTCGAGGAAGGTCCCCAGCAGGTGGGCGGGGCCTTAAGGTCCAGTCGGGGGACCAGTGGATAGGAGAGCCGGGAGACTCTACCGGAGGCTCTGTGGTCCTGCACTGTGTTCTCACGGCTGCCTGCAGGCAGTGTGCCCTCTGACCCTCACTGTGCTCCCTGGTGTCCCCACCCCCCAGGCCGCATCAATGTGAAGAATGAGGAGCTGGAGGCCATGGTGAAGGAGGCTCCTGGGCCCATCAACTTCACAGTTTTCCTGACCATGTTTGGGGAGAAGCTGAAGGGTGAGTGAGGCCCCGGGTGGCCCAGGGGAGGGAGGGGGGAGTGGGTGTGGGCGGGCTGGGCCCTGTGTGCACACATGCCCCCCACTGATGCCCACCCCAGATGCAGGAGCACCCACCTTCACAGCCCTGCCCCAGTCTCCACCCCTGCATCACAGAGAGGTGGTAACTGTAGTGACCCCTGCTTGCAGGGTGGTGAGGGGCCCAGCGGGACAGTCAGTGTGAAAGATCTGCCCCCATCAGGACTCCGCCTCAGCCGCCCCCCCCCCCCGGGGCTCAATGTGCCTGCTTGGCCTCACTGCCCACTGCCACGGGAGGGGAGGAGAGGGGGTGGGGGTGGAAGCTGCTGTGACCGATCACAGTTCCTGCCCTAGGGAAAGGATGGAGGGGCCTCATTCACAAGTGAGAAGACTTGGGCTCAGAAAGGACCCCACGACTGCCACAGGTGTCCCAGCACCAAAGTGGCAGGGATGGGACCTAACCCCGACTCCTGGTTCTAACCATTGCACCTCTTAAGATGCAACGCCAGGCCTGGGGGCAGGGTGGTATGGGACTCGGGACATTTCTGTCCCTTTCTCTCCAGGCTGTGGGAGCTGCTCCCTGCCCCTTAATGATGTCCCCTGGGCTTGAGGGCGCCATGGTCAGAGGGAAGGGCCAGGCTGGACTGCAGCGGCCCTGGGAGGTGGTCCTTGTAGCCACCCCACCCTCAGGGTGCCCCTGCCTGATGCTTTCCCTTCCTCTGCCGGCTCTGGGTTCAATACCTAGCCCCTCACTGACCCCAGGGTTACCTTGGGCAAGGCTTCTCTGCTCTTTGCACCTCATTTTTTGTCTGTAAAGTGGGCATAGTGCAGTTCCCTGAGGCTGCTACAACAAGTGACCACGCACTTGGTGGCTCAGACAAACAGTGATGTCCTCTCTCATGAACTGGGCTGGGTCTGCCTGCTCCACCAGTGCGGGTAACAGGGGCTGGGGCCGGCTGGGCAGGCACTATCTCTGCCCCCTGACCATCATGAGGACACATCGTCATGAGGTTCCTGCCAGTGATGGGGGGATGTAGCCACTCTGTCCCCTTTTGATGAGGTTCAAAGTCTGCAGAGCGGAGTGGCTGCAGGGTCAGCACAGTGCCAGGCGTGGTCACTCGGGACCAGCTCAGAGATGCCTAATGACCCAGACACCATCCTGTCCTGGATGAGTTCCCAGTCTGATGGGGGGACGCAGCTGGCCCTGACCCAGTCTGATGGGGGAGACACAGCTGGCCCTGACCCAGTCTGATGGTGGAGACACAGCTGGCCCTGACCCAGTCTGATGGGGAAGACACAACTGGCCCTGACTCAGTCTGATGGGGGAGACGCAGCTGGCCCTCATCCAGTCTGATGGGGAAGACACAGCTGGCCCTCACCCAGTCTGATGGGCTGGAGCCCAGAGTGGCAGAACAAGCAGGGTGCGCTGGACATCCAAAGAGCTGGCTTCAAACCCTTCCTCCCCTTATTAGTGGGGACCTCAGGCCTCTTTGAGCCTCAGTTTCCTTTTTGACAAACTGGGGACATTAGCACCTACCACGTGAGGCGCTCTGGGGGTTCCAGGGGATAAACTAGCGAAGCTGCAGGGTGGAGCGTGGCGCAGAGTGCTCAGGTGTGCGTGCAGCTGCGGTGGAATAGTGTTCGTCCAGATCTTCACCATTAACGATGCATCATCATAACGGATTCCAGGAAGCGGGCAGCAAACACCGTCCTTTTCTCCATTTCACAGTGACACAGCTTAGCCTTAAAGAAGGCAGGGGACATCCCTGGTCCACAGTGAGTGGGCGGGCAGTATGACAGAGGTGAAAGAGCACCACATACGGGTCACCTGGCCACCTGCTGTCATCCGCACAGTCTGTGAGGCCTTGGGCAAGGCTTCTTTCCTGGGCCTGAGCTCCCCACCTGCACAGCCAGGGGCCTGGACATTCAGTCTCGCTGTGGGAACACAGCTATTTCTTCTGAAGACTTCTCCTCCTGAAGCCCATGCTATGGAAGCAATGAAACCACACCTGCTCCTCCCCACGGCCCCCGCCCCCCAGCCTGCTGGCCCACCGCCCTGCCTCTGGCCAAGACAACCGTGCAGCCCCCCTAATGCCACTGCCCGAGTCCCGGCCTTCGGCCCCCGAGTGCGCACGTCTCCCTCTCTCCCCACACCCTCTCGTCACATCTTGGGTAAGGAGAAAGCGCCAGAGTCGCCCTCCCACCTCACTAATCACACGGCAGCATCAGCCATGAGAACTCAGACAAGCCGTTCAACCTCTCTGAGCCTCATCTTCTTTGCCTGTGAAACTGGGCCAGTCAGCAGGAGGTTAGACACGTAGCAAGTGCCTCGTCGGGTCTCCGTGCACAGCTGGGCAGGCATGCACAGCTGCATGCAGTGGCCGTGGCTACCGCTGCTGCTCCTCCTTCCCCCAAAACCTCTCTTCTCTTGCTTCAAGTGGGCTTGGCCCGCACTGTGGGGTGGGAGTTGGGGAAGAAACCCCCAAGCCGTTGCCCTCTGTAGGGGCCATGGGGTCTGCCTCCAGGCCCCCCGACACCTCTTCTCCAGCCCCTGCCCGTTCTCTTCACCTCGGTGCTCTCTCTGCCTGTGTGCACTGCGTCTAGGCACGGACCCAGAGGAGACCATCCTCCATGCCTTCAAGGTGTTCGACACTGAAGGGAAAGGTGTCATCAAGGCTGATTTGTAAGTCCCTCTGTCCTCCATTTTTGTTTTTCCTTTCTCCGAAGCCTCAGGTATGAAGGAGCTGGTGTGGGGTCTGGGCGGGCGGCAGCCCAGTCTCCTCTGCCCAGAACTCAGCCTGGCTCATCCATCTCTCGGTGTCCCTCCCCCTTTCTGGGCCTCAGCGCCCCCGCTTCTGTGCGGAAGTGTGCAGGGAGTAGGAGGTCTCCAGGGAGGGCTTCCCAGGGGTGGGGGGCAGGGCAGTGGAGGTGGGCCTTGAAGGATGACTAAAGGTGCCTGGGCTGAGGCAGGGAGTATTCCAGATGCAGAAATACAGCGAGTGAAGTGCCAGGGCTTGGCGTGTGCGAGGAGGAGGAGTGGGCTGTGGCTGAGGGTGTGAGTGGGGGACACTGAGCACAGAGGGGCAGGCGGGGCCTGTAGGGGGCAGCTCACTCACCAGGCCCTGGACCCTGGGTCTGCCCTGGGGGTGCAGGAGGGCCTGGGAAGGAGTTAGGCAGGGGCAACATGGAGGCCAGCAAGGAGCAGAAGAGGGGAGGGTCGCAGCCACCGTCACTGAGATAGAGGGGAGTGGATGGGTAAGTGAAACACCAGAGGCCAAAGACAATGGGATCCAGGGTTCCGCGGGGAGGATGGGGCAGAGGTTAGCCAGGGCCTGAGTGGATCCGGGAGGGAGTGGGCACGTGGGAAGGGAACAGCCCAGCTGGGAAGACATAGAGGGTGAGGTGGCTGTGGGCAGCCATCTAGTGGGCCACTGGGCCACCATTATGGAGGTGGGGGCACTGGCGCCTGCGAGCCTCAGCCCAGCGAGAGCTCGGCGCCGAGAGCTAAGGGTGGCGGGCAGGGGCAGGCAGGGCGTGGCCACCTGTTCAGGGGCTGGGACACTGAACTGACCTCTGACCTGTCCCTGGGCCATCCCTTCAGAGCCTCCGAGGCCTCGCTGGGCCTGTGGGTGATCCTGGGTCGGCAAGATTTCCTCTCCAGGCACAGGCTTTCTGACCAATTACTATGATGCTCAGGCCTTGGCTTTGAGACTAGTTTTGCTGCCTATTAGAATCATCCCTTAACGGAGGAGGGCTGGGAGAGGGCAGGGGGCAGGGGGAAGTGGGGAGGGTCTGTTTTGTCTCTCAGACGTTTTCACCGTCCTCTACTCCCCAAAGCTGTGAGTCACTCTCTCCAGGGGGTGGGTGATGAGGACTCCTCCAGGCTGCAGCCCTCTCCTTCCGCTCCCTGAGAGCACACGGTTCCCACCCCCATCTTGGAGACCTGGGGGAGACCCTGGGGTGGCCCCCGGCGTGGCCTGGACCAGCCCCTCTGCCGCCATGCACCTTCACTCCCAGCAGCATGAGGCCAGGGCTGGGAGGAACACGTTGGGGACCCAATTTGGGAGCCAAAGGCACCGCCCAGGGATAGGGGACAGGAAGATGTGGCTGCTCGCCAGTCAGGCCACAGAGGAGGCTCTGGTTGAAACAGAGTCTGTGAAAAGTCCCCAGCTTGGAGAGTTGGAAACTGTGACTGTCCTGTAGTAACATAAATAATGGAAAATGTGTGTCGGTCCTTCGTGGGGCCTGCCGTGGCTGGCACCACAGGGCACTGGGTGCTCAGGGCCTGGGCAGCCCTCTGAGCCCACGCCTGCCCTCTGCTGCCCCAGAGCCCTCTGGGCGTCCTCCCCCCAGCTCCTAAAGCATCAGTCTGTCCCCACAGCCCCAGACTCACCTTCCATGCCTCATCTCCGGCCACTCCTGCAGGCCCAGGCTGCTCTGGCTCCTGTGTGCAGCTGCTCTGGACTGCCTGGGGGGACGGGCCCCACACTGCCACCACAGATCACCCCCCACCCAGAACCTCAGTTTCCCTCTCTGTAAAGGGAGTTTATGGCACTCACTTCCCAGGGCCACGAGGAGCAAATGGTATCTGCGCAGGCCCGGGAGGATAGGCACCTGGATGGGCCTTCCCGCCCCTGGGCTGAGCATAAGCCCCTTGCACGCCATAGAGCGCCATGCAGACGTCAGCAACCATTGCAGATGGTAGCACAGGGAGAGCAGCAGAACAAAGGCAAAGAGGTTGCCCTCAGTAACCTTGAGGTTGGTTATTAGTGCACGATGGGACATCAGAGTGGCCCCCAAGGTCATGTTGGAGTCCCAAGGTCATTATAGTTGGTCCCCACTTGATGCTGGGAGGAGAGTCAACATTACAAAGGAAGAAACTGGGGCTGAGCTAAAGTGTCCGCCTGAGCCCATAGTTATCTGGGGGCTGCAGGGCCAGCCCCATCCCCTTCCTGGCCCTCACTGGTGTCCTCCTGGGCCAGGACTCCTCCCCCAGGCTACCTGTCCTCCTCACCCTGGGATTTGCGTGTCCCCTCACAGGGTGGCTCTTCCCCTGAACATGACCATTTCTCTCCCTTGAGCAGCATCAAAGAGAAGCTCATGACCCAGGCAGACCGGTTCAGCGAGGAGGAGGTAAGCTCTGGTTTTTTAGGGAACCCTTCTGCACTGCTAAGAGTCTTTCTGGGGGCACAGCCCTGCCCTTCTCAGGAGTGACCCCCGCCCCTCCCCCCACCGCAGACCACTCTTCTTTAGGTGCTGAGATTTCGCCTCCCTGGATTCCTCAGATGAGAGCAGAAGGGTTGGGGTGGGGGTGGCTGTGGGACCCTGGCCTCTGTGCCCTCTACCGCCACATCACCATCTGCGCGCTGACACCCCTGGGTGACCCTGGTGTTTGGTCCTGGTCCAGGCTGACTCCCTGCTCCTTCCCCAGATCAAGCAGATGTTTGCGGCTTTCCCACCAGACGTGTGTGGCAACCTGGACTACAGGAACCTATGCTACGTCATCACGCATGGCGAAGAGAAAGACTAGAAGGGGATCATGGACCTCCCCGCGGTCAGAGGCAGCAAACACGGGGCAGCCAGTGGGGGGCTCCTGTGACCAACATGTTTAAGGAAAGGCTCCCCTTGCTTTGGGGGTGGGGTGCAAAGCGAGAATAAATAATGCTAACAAGCTCTGAGTTTTTGTGATTAATACTCCTGCTGGGGAGAAAGCTAAACATTCCTGTGTTGTTGGTTTTTCCAAAACTTTTTACTTCCCTGGCTTTGCTCAAATGTTCCTGATGAGCTAGTGTTTAGAACTAATTGACAGTTTTAATGATCTCCAGCTGGGCCACAGGATACTGCCTTCATTTATGAAGCTTTTATTGAGCACCTAGTACATGCCAGAATCATTGCCAGTCCCAGGGACACAGTGATGAGCCAGTGTTGTTCTGGGCAGGAAGGTCATGCAGTGAGGAGGACAGGGATTGGGGTGGGGACGCGGAGGGAAGCAAGTCCAGGAAAGGCCTGGAAGCTAGGAGCTTGGCAGAGGCGAAAGAGGTGGAAAGGAGGGGTTGATTTAGGGCATGTTTAAGGAGAAGGCCAAGAGCTCTTAAACAGGACACACACAGCACCAACCACAGAATAAAAGTGCGTAAAATGGACTTCATCAAAATTTAAAACTCCTGCTCAGCAAAAGACAATATGAAGAACACGAAAAGGCTGGAGAAGATATTGGCAGTGATAAGTTTTGACAAAGATCTCATATTCCAAATATACTTTTTAAAAATCCTACACATTGATACTGGAAAGATCACCAAAACAAACTAACAAACAAAGTAGATGACAAAAAAGGACATCCAAATGACCAATGAAGACCTGAAAATATGTGCAACCTCATTTCCCATAAGAAAAATACAAATAAAAACCTCCATCAGGTGCATACCCACTATGGCTAAAAGTAAAATGCTTGACAACACCAAGTGTTGATGAGGATGCAGAACAAACAGAACTCTTTGATTTTGGTAGCAGGAGTGTAAAGTGGGCCAACCCCTTTGGAACACTCACTGGCAGTGGCTCTTAAGTTAAAATACACGCATATCCTGCACCAGCAGTTCCGTCTTAGATATGTATGGCCGGAAATGTCCATCATGCATCTTTCAAAAGACATGTGTAAGATTTTATAGATTCATAAGAGTCCCAAACTGGAAACAAGACAAGCTCCATCAAGAGGAGAATTGATAAATGATCATATGTTTGTGCAGCAATGAGAATAAACTATAGACACACAGCACAGCATGGTGCCGGTCTCACGTGTCACACTGCACAAAAGACACAGACAAGAGAGCTTACTTAGCTTATTTAAAATTTGTTTATGGGAGCATACTCTAATAACACATTTTTATTCAGGTACAGTTCACATACCATAACATTCACCACTTTAAAGTAACAATGCGGTGGCACTACGTGAGTTAAGTGCATTCCCAGGGTTGGACAACCATCGCCCCGTTTGTACATAGAACGTTCTCACCTACTGGAGAGGAAGCACATTGGTGGTCACCCCCGTCCTTCCGGCACCCTGCCCCTGGGAGCCGCCCATCTTTCTCTTCCTGTGGATTTGCCTCTTCCAGACAATGTACATAAAGGAGATCACACAACACAGGGCTTCTCGTGTCTGGCTTCTTGGCATAATGCTTTCAGGGTGCGTCTGTGTTATAGTGCTTTATTCTGTCTTACACCTAACATTTCATTGTCTGACTATATTCCATTTTGTTTATCCATTCAATCTCTTGATGGCCATTTGGGACGTTCCCACTTTTTAACTATTATGAATAAAAGTGCTATGTACATTCATGAACAAGTTTTTGTGTGAACATGTTTTTGGTTCTCTCGGGCACATACCTAGGAGTGAAATTGCTGGGTCATACAGTAACTATACATTGAACTTTTCCAGGAATTGCTAAACTGCTTTTCAAAGCACTTTCTAAAAGTGACTGCACCATTTTACACTCCCATTGGTAGTGTTCACGTGTTTCACTTCCCTCACATCCTCACCAGCCCTTGCTATTTTTCTTCCCTTTTTTTAAAAGTTACAGCCATCCTCATGGGTGTGAAGTCGTGTCGCATTTTGGTTATGCATTGAATTTCCCCAGTGATTACTGATGCTGAGCACCTGATCATCTTCTTGCTGACCATTCGTACAGCTTTGGAGAAATGTTTATTCAAGTTCTTTGACCATTTTTAAATTGGGCTGTCTTTTTTGCTGTTGGGTTGTAAGAGTTCTTTGTATATTCTAGAGAGAAGATTCTCTCCAGATATGTGATTTGCAAGTATTTTCTCCCATTCGGTGGGTTGCCTTTTCACTTTCTCGATAGTGTTCTTTTATGCATTTCCTTTATTCTAAATGTTTTATAGTTTTCAAATTTAGGATTTTAAGCCATCTTGAGTTATTTTCTTGTTTATGGCATGAGGTAAGGGCCCAAGTTTATTCTTTATCCAATTCTCCCAGCATCATTTATTGATGAGACTATTTCCTCCCATCGAACCGTCTTGGCGCTCTTGTCAAAACCCAATTGATCAGAGATGTATGGGGTTGATTTCTGGACTCTCATTTCTAGTTCATTGATCTCCATGTCTAAGAGTATATGCTTTCTGATTCCATTTATGTGGAATTCAAAGCCAGGCAAAACTAACTTATGATATCAGAAGAGAGAATAATGGTTACTTCTGGGCTCCGGGTGGAGGGAGGTGAAGGGGGGAGGGGAGGGCCGAGAGAGAACCCTATGGGAGCTGGGAACACTGTCTTGATCTGGGTGGTGGGTATCGGGTGTAAACATATATGAAAGATGACCAAGCTGAACCATTAATATTTGTGCAATTACCATATTTTTGGACTACCCCCTGCCGATTTGGGAGGAATAATGCTTGTTAATGCTGCTGTTGAGTTCTTTTACATTTGCATTGGTGAAATATTATATTATTTACATTATTAAATATTTTACCACATTTTTTGCTTTAAAACTTTTTTTCTATTTTTCTCCTCTAAAACCTAGGTGTGTCTTATGGTCTGAAAAATACAGTAATACTCTTCACTATATTTATGTTCTATATTCCAATAGAAAGGAAGGGAAAAAGAAAAAGATGAGGAGAAAGAAAAGAAAAAGAAAGAGAAAGAAGGAAAGAGAAAAGAAAGAAAGAAAGAAAGAAAGAAAGAAAGAAAGAAAGAAAGAAAGAAAGAAAAAAGAAAGAGGAAGGAAGGAAGGAAGGAGAAAAAGAAAGGAGGGAGGGAAGGAAGGAAGGAAAAGAGAAAAGACAGCAAGATCAGAGGGTAGGGTGGAGAAAATGGGTGTGGAGGGGACTTGGCTTTGGTGACTGACGGCAGGATGCCCTGGGGCAGAGAACTCAGGGGAAGGGGCTCTGGGGAAAGGGCCCCTTTCCACTGGGGGCTTGTCCAGGAGGCAGGTGGATGCTAGGGAAGCAGCAGCCAGTGTGGGACAGAGAGCCAGGGCCCCTGTGCACCAGCGCAGGGAGAGCGGGCGGTGGGACGAGAACCCACAGACCAGCCCGAGCACTCAGAGCAGGAGGAACGCCGGGCCGAGTCAGTAGTAAGCTGGCTGACCGGTGGGACCTGAGGGCTGTAAGATTCCATGAGGTCGACTTGAGCAGAGAAATGCCAACAACCTGGGACCCGGTGCTCCAGGCGCCAGGCTAAGGTCCTCGTGTGCTCTTATTCGTCGTATCCCTGTGAGAACAGGAGAGGAGACCGAGGGCCAGAGCTGGGCGTGAAACCCAGGAAGCCTGGCTCCCTGACACCACCGCCCAGAGTCCGGGGTCCGGGGGCAGGGACTGAATTTACAAAAAGGAGGTTCCGTTCCTTGTCCGTCGTCTCCTAAGCTCCTCGTTCCCTCTCAGGGAGGTGGGAAGAGAGGTGTCCTCATCAGCCCGCAGCTGCCCTGCTCAGGACCCAAGAAAAAAGCTCTGTGAGCCGGGGTGGGTGGGGCCCGAGGGTGAGGGGGAATATTCAGAAGGAGGCCTCCTTCTGCCCAGGCCTCCTCCCTCTGCTCTCCAAGAGTTCAGCTTTCCTGGAAGGCAAGGACTCAGCGGCCCAGGAACTCATCAGACCTGTTTGTGTCCCAAAGAACCAGGCCAGAGCCAAGCTGGAGGGAGTGGGTGCCACAGGCACCGGCTCACCTGCCTGGCTCCCTGCCTGGCAGCTCCCGGCTGCCCTGCCCCCCGGAACTAGGTCTGCATGCCTACCTCCGGGAGGACACAGGGGCCACCAGTGCGGAAGGCCAGAGGGCCTCTGTGCAGGTCAGGAGAGAAGACTGGGGGCCATCCTCCTGCTCCTTCATTCCTCCATCCTTCAGACATCCATCCACTTGTACTGCCTCTGTTTCAGGTCCTCGAGGGGCTCCGGGTAGGAGAGACACTGTGACCTGGCCTCAGTGACCCAGCTGGGAGGGGCACAGTGGGCCAGTTGTGAGGCCCCTGGTGGCTCCAAGGCCTGAGTCTCTGCCTCTCTGGGCATCTCTGCAGCACTGCTTGCTCACGCTCCCTCTCCCCCGCACTGCGGGTCACTGGTGGCCTCGGCTGCCCCTGACTGGGCCCACCACCACTGCCTTCAGTCTCTGTGACTCTCTAAGGATAGTTAGAGGGATTCTCGAGGGATTCCTGGACTGGCTTCATAAGATCCCCAGATGCAGTCCCCCTGACCCACCTCTGGTTCAGGCAGCTGGGGAGGTCTACAGAGCTACCCCTTCTGGGGGGCAGGGGCTGGGCTCCTGACAGCCAGAGAAACACTGGGAAGAGCACACACGCCGGCGGACACCTCACCTCTCCTGAGTCACGTCTGGAATCACCTTTGTAAAGGGACCAGAACTCCTGTGGCCTCCCTAACCTCCCCTATACCACTGTCCTCTTGGGTCTGGGCCCCTGCTGCACAGCTTCATTCAGTTCCTGGAGTGCTCTACATTTCCTTCCCGAGGGAACACAGGGCCTTTGCATACACTGTGCCTTCTGCCTGGAACACTGTCCCACCTGGCACCGCCCCTTTCTTTGCCCAGTTACTCTCTACTTAGCTTTCTGCTCTCAACTCCGCATCATATCCCTAGG